CTCCCCCCTGGGGTCCAGGGATTCTCACATCAAACGTGTGTTGAGGTGGGGGGCATGGTGTGGGAGAACGCTCCCCCAGGGGTCCAGGGATTCTCCACATCAAATGTGTGCAGACTCCAGGGACGTGGCATGAGAGAATGCTCCCCCAGAGTCTGGGTACTCCCTCATCAAATGTGAGTAGAGCCTGGGACACAGTCACAGTCAGCACACTGACCCCACACCGGTCAGCTCTCGGGGAGCAGGCCTATCATTTGGTGGAGCACATGGCATGAGAGAATGCCGCCCTCCACTACAAGCCCAGGAACTCTGACATCAAATATAAGCAGAGCCCAGGACATGGGTGGCACTGGGGGATCAGGCTCCCGCTGACGCCCCCTCTCCTGTCCGTCGGTCAGCTCACCAGCGAGCAGATGTCCAGCCACCAGCCACATATGAGCGGGAACACGCCAATCTCCACCACCACCAGCAGCGAGACCTGGGGGAGAGGACACTCCATGAGATGGCTGCTGAGGGCAGAGAAGAGGTGGTCAGTGACGTCAGGTCCAAACACACTAACCTTGACAACAATGTAGCAGACGCCCAGCAGGCGACGAGAGCGGTGGAACTTGACAAGCGTCGCTAGGCCCTAGATGACCGGTCAAGGAAGCACTGTGCACAAAGGGTGGCCCCCGCCCGCCCTCCTCAGACTGCCCAGGCCAGGACGTCTGGGCAGCGCACAGCCGGCCACGGAAGGATACATGGCAGACGATAAGTGTTATCGCCAGCAGGATGTACCCAACTATGGTGGTGATCAGACCTTCAAAGTGCGAAGCTTGGACCTGAAATGAGCAAACCGTGCATCTCACATCACCTGCTGGCTGTCACCAGCGTCTGATTCCACAGCCCACGAGGGACACGCCAGCAGGCCAGCCCGCCACCCGGGTAGCTGGCAGGCCTCCGCCCCGCCCATGCCCTGTCACAACCAAGGACAATGAAGAACTGGAGGACGGCACTTCCCTGGAGCAGAGGGAGTGCCACAGAGACGGAGTGAGGCGGCAAGAGCCGGCAGCACGTCCCCGCGGTCACGCCCACATGGACAAGAGCACAGGGCCGGCCGTGGGGTAGAGACCAGCATGGTCAGAGCATGCGTGCCACCTCTCAAGTCCCTGCCTGACGGTGAGAGAGGATCCTGGCTGCTGTACGAAAGGTGAAACATCACACCTGGCATCTGAGCACTTGACATGTTACGTCTCCTCTAAGAGACCAGGTCTTTCCAGGCCCTGGAAAGGCAGCAGGGCGGCAGTACTGAAATCTATGTGCCTCTGAGAAAGATGAAGGAATGTCCCCAGGCTCCCTGTCCTCTCCTGGGACTTGATGCTCCCTTGAGATACACCATCCATCCCTGGGCAGGGACAGCGCGCAGGACGGCCCTGCATGCGGCCCACCCATCGGCTGCCACTCTGCCCAGGAAGAAGGGAACTGGGTACTGAGGACCCTTGCAACCCCTGGGGACGTGCTGACCCAGGCACCACCACAGTTTTAACGGGGCGAACAGACCATGATGTGCAAACACTCCATCTGCACGAGGCAGAAAGGGGGGAAGGACCAGAGAGCATTACTACTCGGCTCACAGCAAACCTGCAAAGAATTCATCCAAATACTCTTACAAACGGGTTATACTTACATGTTCTTCAAATCCCAGACCAACAAGAGAGAAATGGCCAATGTGGTATGGGCAGAAGGCTGCAAGGGAGGAGAAAATGGACATCAAACACTGACCAAGGACACCCCTTGCATCCCACTCACAACGACTCAAGCTTCCTGGAGGTTCCAGGAGCAGGGCGTGCTCACTGAACAGAATCCAAGGCCCCTGTGCTGTCAGGAAGGCTGGGGCACCACAGGACAGGGGCACCGGGCAGCCAAGATAAGGGGCACCACAGGGAAGAGGCCCCAGGAAGTCAGGCCGGAGGGGTACCATGGGGAAGAGGTCCCGGGCAGCTGAGATGAAGGGACAACCTGGGGAAGAGGCCCCAGACAGCCGTGACAGCGGGGCAGCTGAGACGGCAGACTCCAGAGCAGAATGGGGGTACCAAGTAGCTACTGACCTGTGAGCTCCCACAAACAGCAAACACTGGCACACGAGGACCAGCACCACATGACGCAGCAGGCTACGCACTAACCCTTGCCCTGCAAACTGAGGGTCCCAGCTAAGGACTGAGCAAGCAGGCAGCTCCACCCAACACGCATGTCTCCTCACAGAAGACAGCCAGCCTCCAAAGCCCAGCAACAGAAAGTGGAAAGGGCCGCAAGGTCCAATGAAAAAGTCTCCTGTAAAAAAATTCTTCTGTCAAGGGTCATCCGGTGCACGGCAGACTGAGTCCTGGACACTTGTGCGGTCCTCGAGGGTCACCACTCTCAGGCTGGCCAGGCAGCGACCATGTATGCTGTGGTCATCAGGTGCACCGTGTGGACCTGTGACCCCAGCCCTATTCTACAGCATCAAGGATGCGCTCTAACCACTGGCACATTCACAGAGCCAGGCCTCCTCGTTGCAGTCCATCTTCTCTTCTGCTGACCTCCACCTCTCCCAGTAAGGGGGCTCTCAAAAACCGGACCCTCCTGACAACAGCCTGAAGTAGGTGAGACAAAGTTTTACCACCTGCACCTCCAAAAGCACTCCGCGTGCACGTCCGTCAAGCCAGATGTGTTTGTTCTTTTGGCAGCAAATGGTATATTCTTTGTCAACACTAATGCAAAGGCTTCAATTCTTCTCCAGTCTTCCTTACTCACTGTCCAAGTTTCAGATACACAAGGAGTAACTGAAACCACCATGGGTAAGACTGTTGTTAGGTGGTGTCGGGTCAAGCATGACTCACAGCGACCCTATGAACAGAAGCCCCGAACCCTGTTCTGTCCTGTGTCATCTTCTCACTTCCTGGCCCATTGCAGCAGTCACTGCGTCAGTCCACTTGACTGAGGATCTCCCTCTCCCTCACCGACCTGCTGCCCTTCCCAGGAAGATTAGGAGCACTTCCAAATGGCCTCGACACTCTTCAGAACCTGGGAGACTGACAGCAGATTTTGCCGATTCAGACATGTCCTTTGCTGTCCTGACTGCTGCTATCATGGGTTTTGCATCCAAGTAAGACGAGATCATTGACATCTTCTCTCAGTCCATCATAATGCAGCATGTTGGTTAGGTGGGGAGGATCTCCGGGGCGGGGGGTGTTCATGGTGAGTTATAACCCTACTGAAGGCTGTAATCTTTGATCTGCAGTAAGTGCTTGAAGTCCTCCTGATCTCTTCACTTTCTGCTAGTGGGGCTGTGTCATCTGCGTAACGCAGGCTGTTGGTGAGCCTTCCTCCAACCCTGAAGCCACATTCCTCTTCATACAGGACAAGCTTCCGGAAGGATTTTTCTCAAGTAAACAGACTGAATAGGTAACGGGAAAGGATACAACCGTGACACACACCTTTCCTGATTTTCAACTAAGCAGTGTTTCTTTGTTCTGTTTGGACAACTGCTTCTTGGTCAATGTATAAATTCCACATGAACATAATTAAGTGTTCTGGGATTCCTAGTCTTCTCCATGTTAGCCGTAATTTGTTATCAACCACACCCTTGCATAATTGTAATTTGTTATTATCAAAGGCCTTTGCATAATCAAGAAAACACAAGGAGATATCTCTTTCTGGTCATCTCCTCTTTCAGCCAAGATTCATCTGACACCAGCAATGATACCCATCATTCCACTGCCTCTTCACAATTCTGCTTGCGAGTTTCTTTTTTAAAAAAAATTTATTATTAATTTCAATGAAAACTTACAGAGACTTCGGATTTCCATTCATTTTTGCACTTCTCCCCCTCCCAACCCTCCCCCCAGTACACCACCCAGCTTGAGAGTTTCTAGTAGTTTCCTTTTGATTTACTGTTCCACTCTTTTTGAATAATCTTCAGCAAGATTTTACTTTGTGTGGTAGAAATGACATAGTTTGCTAATTTCCACACCGTGATAGATCACCTCGTTTGGGAAGGGGAATGACCACAGATCTCTTCTGCTCAGGTGGCCAAGCGGCTGTCTTCTTTACTTGTTTGCAGAGACTGGTGAGCATGCCCAGGGTTGCATCTGTTTCTGGAAACACCTGTGCAGGTAAACCGTCAATTCCTGGGGCCTTATTTATTGCTAACACCTTCAGGGCAGCTTAGCCCTCTCCCTTCAGTACAATCAGTTCTTGGTCACACGCTACCTCCTGCAATGGTTCTGCCCTGACCAATTCCTTTTGGTACAGGGACTGTGTTTTTCTTTCATCTCGCTCTTATTTTTTTAGGAAACATTGACATCGTTTATTCAGTAAGTCACAGCAGTTCAATACACACACGGTGTGGAATTACATGGACCACTTTCTCAGATGCTGGGAAGAAGACTTCAGGGATTCAGCAAGCTATTGGCCGTCTCGTGATCATGAAGGACTCAGACGTTCTAGCAGTGATGTTTCCTGTTTGTTAGTTTCTCACGGAGCGGATTCTAATAGGTAATACATGTTACTGAAGTGAAAAACATCCATTTTAGCTGAAAGAAAGGATTCCATTTCTTGCATATTTTACGTTATTCTTTATGAAGAGAAGTGAGCTAGTCCTTGATGGTAAGGCAGAGAGAATGGGGTCAGGCACTCTCTGCTATGTCTAGAAATCAGCCAGTTAGAAACTTAGCTCACAGTCTGTCCTTCAGAGTGACTGTCCAGGACATGGAGGCGTGGACGACGCTGACCCTTCACGGAGTGGGCGGTCCTCTCTTCCACTGCTATGCAGTTACCTTCTGACTCATATATCAGATGAGCTGGGCTATCCTGTTGGTTCCATGTCATGCAAACAGGAGCCAGTTTCGAGGCTGGACCTTGTAGGCGAATCTCACGAACATCAGAGTGACAGCAGTGAGCGAACATCATTTGGCTGCTGCTGCTCTCCGGAGACTTCATGTCACTGATGGCAGCAATGGCCCCCAGAAGTCCTTGCTGTGGACATAGTTGGCCGCCTTCCACACCAGCGCACCCTGCCATGGCTGTGCCAGTCCATAGCTGCTCGGAGCCCAAAGACAAACAGGCATCAGCAGAGCGACCGAGCCAGCGGGGTACGTGGACAACTGCCCTCTTTCATCTTCTTTTGATGTTTTTTGCACCACTCAAGATTCTGTCCATTCTGACAATCTTTCAATCTGCAACTCGAGGCCTGAATTTGTTTTTTAGTTCTTGCAGTTTGAAAAACAGTTTTTCCCTTGCAGTTTTCTAAGCCCAGCACATTGCACATCCCACGCTAATGGAATTACTGCTGCATTTGGCCTTCCTGGGCTGCCCTTGGAAATGGTATGTTCAGTTCTCTGACCTCAACACTCCATACCTTGTTTTGGTCTTTTCACTTCTGTGCAAATTCTGACATCATTTTGGTCTTTTCTTTCTTCCCCATCTTTGTATTAAAAACTTTTTGCTTTCTTCACAGCTGTTTTTGATGCCATCCACAACTCGCCTGGTCTTTGCTCATTAGTGCTAAATGCTTAAAAACTATGCTTAAGATGGCTTGAAAATCTAGTTCGGATACTTCCAAGGTCACTTTTTTGGTTTTGTGGGCTTATTTCCATTTTCTTCAGTATCAGTGTGAACTTATTAGGAATAACTACTGGTCTGTTCCACAGGCAGCCCAGCCTTTTTCTGAGTACTGAGACCGAGCTTCACAAGGGCTTCTTCCCACAGACGTGGTGAATCTGATTCCTGTGTAGTCAGGTCCACACACAATCATTGCTTATGCTTTTTCAAAAAAGTATTTACAATGAATAAATAATTCACTGTACACAATCTTATTCAATTTACAGCCTAATTTTTGCTACAAAGTCCAGATTTCCCAGCTCCCCGTCCTGTTTGTTTTCAACTTCCATGTTCCAGTCACCAATTATTATTAAACCATCTTGACTGCATGTTTGATCAATTTCAAACTGCAAAGATTCAACAGAAATGCCACTCTTTTCATTTTTGGCTTCAGTGGTTGGTACACACATTTATTTCAATAATACTTAGATTAAGAGGTCTCCCTTGCGTATGTATGCATATTATCCTTTCCTTTACAGCACGGTACTCCAAAAAAGATGATGAAATACTCTTTTTTAAAGATGCTTGCAAGATTCTTCCTCTTCGATTTATAATTCCTGACACAGTACATCACGTGACTGGCTGATTAAAAATGGCTAATACTTGCCCATCTCTAACACCGAGGACGTCGCTCTTTACCCGTTACCTTTCGTTTCTGAAAACATTCAGTGTTCATAGTTTCACACTTTGCATGCACCATGTGCCATGATGAATGGATGGCTGCAGCGTCAATCCCATATGGAGTGCTGTCGAATCAGTAAACGAGGGGCCTCCACCAGGGAACCATTTACTCCACCTCTACCAGCACTCTGCTCTCAGGAGGCAGCGCTTGCCTCCCTACACTCAGCGCCTTCCTGCCTAAGGGATGACTGTTAGCTGCAGGGCTTTGCAAAGTCTGTTCTTTCCCAAGTGGAAGGCTGGTCCTGCTTCTCAGCCTGTCTTAAAGTGGAAGCTCTGCTGAAAGGTGTCCACCACTGTGACAGTGACGTATCTGAAATGATGATGGCAAAGCATCCATCACCACCACAACATTCAAGTCAGTATAGTACAGCAAACACAAAAACCCTCCTGTACACGTTGCACAAAAGGCAGACTGGCTTCCAAGGGGACTGAGTCTGGATCCCACCAGGCCCTCAGGCACAACATGTAGCTACAGGAAATACAGGGATGGGAGGGCAAGGTGAGGACAGCAGAGTGAGCATCGCACAGTGTGAACACCGCACAGCCTAAGGTCAGTGTGAACAATGCACAGCTTGAGAGTGGCGGTGCGAATACCATACAGCGTGAGGGTGTCAGTGTGAATACTACACAACATGGGTGTGTCAGTATGAATACTGCAAGCATGAGAGCATCAGTGTGAAAACTGCCCAGCGTGAGATCAGTGTGAATACTGCACAGCATGAGGTCAGTATGAATGCAACATAGTGTGAGACCATCAGTGTGACTACTACACAGCGTGAGGTCGGTGTGAATACTGCAAAGTGTGAGGAGGTCAGTGTGAATACTCCAGAGCGTGAGGGCATCAGTGTGAACGCTGCACAGCGTGAGGCCGTGGGTGTGAACCCTGCAGAGCGTGAGGGCATGGGTGTGAATGCTGCACAGCGTGAGGGTGTGAACACTGCACAGCGTGAGGGTGTCGGTGTGAACGCTGCACAGCGTGAGGGCGTGGGTGTGAACGCTGCACAGCGTGAGGCCGTGGGTGTGAACCCTGCAGAGTGTGAGGCCGTGGGTGTGAACACTGCACTGCGTGAGGGTGTCGGTGTGAACGCTGCACAGCGTGAGGGTGTCGGTGTGAACGCTGCACAGCGTGAGGGCATGGGTGTGAATGCTGCACAGCGTGAGGCCGTGGGGGTGAACCCTGCAGAGCGTGAGGCCGTGGGTGTGAATGCTGCACAGCGTGAGGGTGTGAACACTGCACCGCGTGAGGGTGTCGGTGTGAACACTGCACAGCGTGAGGGTGTCAGTGTGAATGCTGCACAGCGTGAGGCCGTGGGTGTGAATGCTGCACAGTGTGAGGGTGTGAACACTGCACTGCGTGAGGGTGTCGGTGTGAACGCTGCACAGCGTGAGGGCATGGGTGTGAATGCTGCACAGTGTGAGGGTGTGAACACTGCACTGCGTGAGGGTGTCGGTGTGAACACTGCACAGCGTGAGGCTGTGGGTATGAACGCTGCACAGCGTGAGGGCATGGGTGTGAATGCTGCACAGCGTGAGGCCGTGGGGGTGAACCCTGCAGAGCGTGAGGCTGTGGGTGTGAATGCTGCACAGCGTGAGGGTGTGAACACTGCACCGCGTGAGGGTGTCGGTGTGAACACTGCA